AAGGGGCATCTACTTTTTAGGCTTAGTTTTCTTTTCCTAGGTTTGTCAGCAGGCAGATGCTTTCGACTGGGGTTTTTGGCTTTCTTCAGCCGCAACTTAGACTACCTGAGGAGTTCACCTTTTCAATCTTTTGTTGTAGACGCCTTTGACGTTCGCTTTTGATTTGCTACAATTTTCCATCGCTTTTATCCCTTTTCTTGACTCTGCTCCAGGAGCGACCGAATATAAGAAAATGAACCAAGGGAATTTCCCATTTGTTCCTTAGCTAATTCGCATCGCTCCGCTCCTTGGAATTAATTGTTTGGATGTTTGCGTGGATGAAATCAATTAAATCGCGTGAGCTTGACATGATGAGGAGCGGCTAATTTTCTCCTCTACCCAAAGGTTGACGCGACGGCGCGGTCCATAATATCTGTGAGATCTAACCGAATCTTCATTATTTCCTCAAATTAATTGCTATTCGTGCGTTTCCTGAATTAATTGTTCATGGGTATTTTATTAATTGAATATCAACGGCCGGGTATTTGATTTAATTTAATAGCCTACTGCCACGTTAATTAAATAGAATCCGTAATTGTTCATTTAGTTAACACCTCGTGGCAACCACCATAATTGGTTTTATGATGGAGAAACGCAAGATCTAACTTAAATAAACCCTCTTAGCGTGTTTATTGGTTAGGGTTGGGTTCTTCTAGCTTTAATGCAATTGGGTAATTAAATTCCTACGGTCGTACCTAGGGTTGTTATCTGGTTAGAGAAGTAGTCAATGGTCGTACCTTGACTGTCGAAAAAGTAAGGAAGAGCTGGTTGTCAGAGCTTATTGATGGCTATAACCAACCTAGTGATAAATGAATGAAATATCTTTGCATCGACGAGCATTTAATTGGACCGTGCCTGAGCAGTTGATCCTTTGGGTAGAACTTTTATCAATTGCTATTTTTGTTGAATTGTGCTTTGTGAGTTAGTTTTGAATTTAGTTCGTTTTATTTTTATTTTACTTTTATTTTATTTATTTATCTCCCATTGAAAATCCCCCAATTTTGTTCTACTAATTTGGAAAGAAATAATTTCCTACCCGCTCCCTGTGGAATCGACCCTACTTGCCATTGTACGCAGAATTAATATTTTTATAGACAAATCCGGTATATCGGATTAAGCAAACTCTTCGGGAACAGGGTGAATCAAGTAACCCATTGCACACCTAGGGTCCCTGCTCCAGTACTTGGATTTGTTCTATAATTATTTAATTGAGGTGGTAATTAGGACTTTTTAGTAATTATTATTGCACAGGTTCGGCACCTGTCAATTTTTGGCGCCGTTGCCGGGGAGTTGGCGTTTGGATTATTTGTTTCTTTTCAAATTCAGTTTTTTATTTTTTTCTATTTTTCTTTGTATTTTTGCTAGTTTATGCCCCGTTCTTCTCGCACAGGTGAATTGGTATACGATCCTGAGGTTGAGAAGGCAGCGCGTAGGTGGAGGCAAGAGACCAAGAGACAAAAAGGAGGGCACTTATTTGCTGCGAACGAGTCAGCGGAAGACGAAGTAAGCATGGCCAACACCCAAACATTGAGGGAGTTGGCTGCCCCGGAGCTGACTCACCAGCCTTTATGCATCACATTCCCCGCCTTGGCTGAGAATACTGCTTTCGAACTAAAGTCGGGGTTGATTCAACTCTTACCTTCTTTCCATGGTCTCTCTAGCGAAGAACCCCACAAGCACGTTAAGGAGTTCGAGGTGGTTTGCTCTAGTATGAAACCTCCTGGGGTCACTGAAGAGCAAATTAGACTGAGAGCCTTTCCGTTCTCTCTCAAGGATGCAGCTAAATATTGGCTGTATTACCTTCCAGCAGGTAGTATTACCACATGGGCACAGTTGAAAAAGAAGTTTTTGGAAAAATTCTTCCATGCATCCCGGGCTGCGAGTTTGAGGAAGGAAATCTGCGGCATTAAACAATATCCCGATGAGTCCTTGTATGACTATTGGGAAAGGTTTAACAAGTTGTGCACTAGATGCCCGCAGCATCAAATTAGTGAACAACTGTTAATCCAATACTTCTATGAAGGGCTCCAATCAACAGATAGGAGTATCATTGATGCTGCAAGTGGGGGAGCACTTACAAACAAGACACCGAGGGAAGCGTGGGAGCTCATCGAAGCCATGGCAGAGAACTCCCAGCAATTTGGCTTACGTGAGAGCAACCCTCCCCGTAGAGTCAACGAGGTGGAGACGTCATCCCTTCAGCAGCAGATATCGGAGCTAACATCCGTTGTTCGACAATTAGTGGTGGAAAATGTGCCCCAAGTAAAGGCCTGTGGAATCTGCACAAATATGGGCCACCATACTGACTCATGCCCTATATTGCAAGAGGATGGGGCTGAGCAAGTGAACATGGCTGGAGGCGTGCCCGCGCCTCGTAGGCAGTACGATCCATACTCCAACACGTACAATCCGGGTTGAAGAGATCACCCCAATTTCAGCTATGGAAATAGGCCACAAAATGCATTCTCCAATTGTCCACCAGGATTTCAGCAACCATGGCAACCGAAACCGCAACCCTCATCCTCCAACACAGGGAGTTCCTTGGAGGATATTGTCAAGAGTCTAGCCACGACTACCGCCCAGCTCCAGCAAGAGACCAGGTCATTGACCACAAATATGGCTCAACTCCAGCAAGAAACTAGAGCTTAAACCATGAGCACCAATCAGTTCCAGCAGGACACAAAATCAGGCATGAAGGATATGGAGGCTCGAATAAGCCAGATGGCAACTGCCATCAATCGCTTGGAGTCCCACGCTTATGGAAAGTTACCTTCACAACCCGAGGTAAATCCCAGGAATGTAAGTGCCATGACCCTGAGGAGTGCCAAGACATTGGAAGGGCCTAAAGAGGGAAATTCAAAAAGCAAGAGTGAGGAGGAGATAGAAAAGGAAATTGAGGAGGAAGGACGTATTCGTGAGGATCCTAAGGTAATCCCCCCTCTCCACTCACTACTAACTCTAACTTACCCCCTTTCCCTTGCAGGTTGGAAAAGACAAAAAGGGTAGAGAAGGAAAAAGAGCTTTTAGATGTGTTCCGAAAAGTGGAGATTAACATCCCTTTACTGGATGCAATCAAGCAGATACCGAAATATGCTAAATTTCTCAAGGATCTATGCACCCATAAGAGGAAACTGAGAGGAAGACCCTAGCTTTAGTTTTCTTTTTCTATTTTGGGTCAGACGCTTTCGGCGGGCCCCTTTTTGAGTCTTTTTGTTTTCTTCTTCAGCAGCAACTGCAGAGGAGAATATAAATTAGCTTTGATTTTCCCTTCGAGAGGGGTCAGACGATTGCAGACTTTTGTAGCTTTTCGGTAGTGACACTTTGACTTCTCGGCTTTCGTTTTGACTCTGTGCAATTTACGTTGTCTTTTGTTCGTACACCTGCGGATCCAAAACAAAGACGAAGGCAGGGCCTTCTCTGTTGTGACTACAATCAATCCCTCTTCCCCAATTCTTCGACGAATAATTGAATGAATTCAATTAAATCACGCAGGATTGATATGATGTGGAGCGGCTAATTTCCTCCTCTACCCAAAGGTTGGCGCGAAGGCGCGGTCCATAATATCTGTGAGATCTAACCGAATCTTCATTATTTCCTCCAATTAATTGCTATTCGTGCGTTTCCTGAATTAATTGTTCATGGGTATTTTATTAATTGAATATCAACGGCCGGGTATTTGATTTAATTTAATAGCCTACTGCCACGTTAATTAAATAGAATCCGTAATTGTTCATTTAATTAACACCTCGTGGCAACCACCATAATTGGTTTTATGATGGGGAAATGCAAGATCTAGCTTAAAGAAACTCTCTTAGCGTGTTCATTGGTTAGGGTTGGGTTCTTCTAGTTTTAATGCAATTGGGTAATTAAATTCCTACGGTCGTACCTAGGGTTGTTATCTGGTTAGGGAAGCAGTCAATGGTCGTACCTTGACTGTCGAAAAGGTAAGGGAGAACTGGTTGTCAGAGCTTATTGATAACTATAACCAACCTAGTGATGAATGGACGAAATATCGTTGCATCGATGATCATTTAATTGGACCGTGCCTGAGCAGTTGATCCTTTGGGTAGAACTTTTATCAATTGCTATTTTTGTTGAATTGTGCTTTGTGAGTTAGTTTTGAATTTAGTTCGTTTTATTTTTATTTTACTTTTATTTTATTTATTTATCTCCCATTGAAAATCCCCCAATTTTGTTCTACTAATTTGGAAAGAAATAATTTCCTACCCGCTCCCTGTGGAATCGACCCTACTTGCCATTGTACGCAAAATTAATATTTTTATAGACAAATCCGATATATCGGATTAAGCAAACTCTTCGGGAACAGGGTGAATCAAGTAACCCATTGCACACCTAGGGTCCCTGCTCCAGTACTTGGATTTGTTCTATAATTATTTAATTGAGATGGTAATTAGGACTTTTTAGTAATTATTATTGCACAGGTTCGACACCTGTCAATTTAAAAAAAAAAAAACCTGAAGAAACCTCGTGACCAGAGGACTATGGGTTACAAGGCGTGCCCACGCCTTGCGAGCAGTTTTAAAAAAATAATAAAAAAAATAAAAAATATATATATATATATATTTTGGGGCAATTGTACAGTGTGTACAGCAAATGGAAACTGCATTGTTAGTGAAACTCCTCCGGTAAGGCACTGTGGTTATTGGTGAGTTTTGGACATTCTCTTGACACTTTACCCCCTATCTATACCTTCTTAACCCGTCTTTCACCTAAGTCCCATTACAACTCTATTAAAATCCCTTTGATTTATGTGTTTAGTTCATTTTTTAAGTGGTGGAGATGTGATAAATGTGCAAGCCTATGGTAATGGCATTCCATGATATTGAATTGAGCGTTCCTAATATTCATATATATTCTCTGAATTACAACATGTCCGGTGTGTTCTACCTTTGGTGATATTGTCAGGGACCCTAAATGCTTGCGTTAGTATAGACTACTACATGGCCTCTGCTCTATTGACTGTACTTCTGAGCTCCGAAATGCTTGAGGACAAGCATTGTCTAGGTGTGGGGGGATTTGATAGAGCTGTTATTTGGCGTATTTTGCTCTGTTATTCTGTCCTAATTTTGGCTATTCACGGTACTAAAAATTGGAATTTCACTCATATTCGATATTTGCATGAATTGTAGGTGGTCGGCATAAAAATGAGCTCGCAAGGCAAATTTCCAGAAGACCTTTCATTTCAGAGCGTGGCCACGCCTTAGAAGGTGGGCGAAACCGAAAGCCGGACCGTGGTCCACGTGAACCCGAAGCATGGGATCAGAACTCTGGAGGCAAAGCTCTGCTCCAGGCCTTTGTTCCAGACGTCTTTTCCTTTTCTACGTCTCTTGGGCGGCGGATATAAAATAGAGAAACAAGGAAGATTCAAGGGGCATCTACTTTTTTGGCTTAGTTTTCTTTTCCTAGGTTTGTCAGCAGGCAGACGCTTTCGACTGGGGTTTTTGGCTTTCTTCAGCCGCAACTTAGACTAGCTGAGGAGTTCACCTTTTCAATCTTTTGCTGTAGACGCCTTTGACGTTCGCTTTTGATTTGCTACAATTTTCCATCGCTTTTATCCCTTTTCTTGACTCTGCTCCAGGAGCGACCGAATATAAGAAAATGAACCAAGGGAATTTCCCATTTGTTCCTTAGCTAATTCGCATCGCTCCGCTCCTTGGAATTAATTGTTTGGATGTTTGCGTGGATGAAATCAATTAAATCGCGTGAGCTTGACATGATGAGGAGCGGCTAATTTTCTCCTCTACCCAAAGGTTGACGCGACGGCGCGGTCCATAATATCTGTGAGATCTAACCGAATCTTCATTATTTCCTCAAATTAATTGCTATTCGTGCGTTTCCTGAATTAATTGTTCATGGGTATTTTATTAATTGAATATCAACGGCCGGGTATTTGATTTAATTTAATAGCCTACTGCCACGTTAATTAAATAGAATCCGTAATTGTTCATTTAGTTAACACCTCGTGGCAACCACCATAATTGGTTTTATGATGGGGAAACGCAAGATCTAATTTAAATAAACCCTCTTAGCGTGTTTATTGGTTAGGGTTGGGTTCTTCTAGCTTTAATGCAATTGGGTAATTAAATTCCTACGGTCGTACCTAAGGTTGTTATCTGGTTAGAGAAGCAGTCAATGGTCGTACCTTGACTGTCGAAAAAGTAAGGAAGAGCTGGTTGTCAGAGCTTATTGATGGCTATAACCAACCTAGTGATAAATGGATGAAATATCTTTGCATCGATGAGCATTTAATTGGACCGTGCCTGAACAGTTGATCCTTTGGGTAGAACTTTTATCAATTGCTATTTTTGTTGAATTGTGCTTTGTGAGTTAGTTCTGAATTTAGTTCATTTTATTTTTATTTTACTTTTATTTTATTTATTTATCTCCCATTGAAAATCCCCCAATTTTGTTCTACTAATTTGGAAAGAAATAATTTCCTACCCGCTCCCTGTGGAATCGACCCTACTTGCCATTGTACGCAGAATTAATATTTTTATAGACAAATCCGGTATATCGGATTAAGCAAACTCTTCGAGAACAGGGTGAATCAAGTAACCCATTGCACACCTAGGGTCCCTGCTCCAGTACTTGGATTTGTTCTATAATTATTTAATTGAGGTGGTAATTAGGACTTTTTAGTAATTATTATTGCACAGGTTCGGCACCTGTCACAAACCTGAAGTGGTTGGGATTTATTTCACACCCCACCTCCCACTCTTTGACCACTAGGATTTGATTATCCATGACCCATGGCCCTCCCATCAGAATTTTCTCACGATCTTGTTCCTTTTCTATCTAAAACTGAAAGATATTTGGGCCCAGTTCAGTAACTACCATATTTCTCGGATACCCCCAAGCATGATTAGTGAAGTTTTTGATGTCAGTGAAGTTTGCCACCTTTTCTCCTATCAATTTCCCAACAAGACTCCCACTGCAATCTTGGATCCCCTCACTTATATCCTCGGAACATAGAGCTATCCCTTCTCTCCCCGACTGTGATAGCTCAAATTTACTAAAGGCTCGAGCTAGCTCCTCCTCCATTTTGTCGAACACCTGCTGCGTCTGGTTACCCGCACACTATTTCCCTTCTTAGTAGCACCAGTTGGTTAAACCTGCAAAATAGAGGAGAAAAACACACCGAAAATAAATGACTTAGAAATCTAACCCCCTATACCAATCTACAGCACTCATCTAGCATGGCACCTTAGCTCCCACCCAGAAAAAGTTATGGTTAATATCCTTTAGTTTTCCTATGCATCATCGTTGCATTTCCACTTGGAAACAGAGTAGTTGGCTCGAAACTTAGCGCTGCTAAACGATTTTGGGTGGTTTCAGGCGTACAGAAGGTGAACAGTCACTATTGCTTGTTTGAAAATTCAAAAACTTTCTACTTTGGGTTGCCGCTAATCGCATGAAGTGTGCAAGCTCCTAGAGGCAGGAGATGGGCTCTCAAACTAGAGAGAGAGGCTATCGGCTTGATCTCATACATGGAGATCATGACTTATTAGCAATGTTTTAAAACTCGGACTGTTAATTGAATCGGTGAGATGTTCAGGTCAAGATTCAACCGATCGGACCGGTTCAATTCTGGTTCAATGATTTTTTAAAAAATAATTTATATAAATATATATATATGCACAAAATAAGACATGCAATGGATTCATTTAAAACTTTATATGATAAAAAGTTCAATATTTTTGAATAACTTGGATTTTCAATAATAATTTTTTTAAATTATAAGTTGAAACAAATAAATTTAATCTCAATCTCAATTATATTTACCAAAAAATAATCTTAAATTCAATCCAAAATATACCACAATATTTTGAAATTATACAAAATTCACGTCTATTGGAATTTAGATATTGTGAGTTTAAATTTTAATTTACATTTTTGGGATTTAGAAATTGCAATTAAAAAAAAAAAGAAGTTTGGAGTTTAAAGGAAGTCATGAGAATTGAAAATAGAAATGCAAACTTGATAAGAAACAAAAAAAATGAGATAAAAGTGAGTGGTTGTGGCATTTATTAGTCTTTAGGATTTAAGAAAAATAATTCTTTTTAATTTTTTTCAATTTAATGGACAAAAATAAAATTAAAAGATGGAAGAAAATATCAATAAATTAACTAAAGAGGTTTGATTAAAAAGTGAGTGACAAAAGAAAAGAGGAGAGAGAGAGAGTCGAAAATTAGAAAGAAAAAATCATAAGAGGATGAGATTTTGTAGAGAAAACGGAGAAAAGAAAGATAGATGTTTGTTTTATATAATAAGTTATCATAAAAAACTTATAGGATATGATGGTACAATGGTTACTACATTGGTTTTTCATCACAAAGGTCCTGAGTTTGATCCTTGGTAGCTGTGTTTTGCAAAACTTAAAAAAATATTAAGAGGAAAGTTAAAAAATCGAAAACCATCGATTCGACCTGGTTCACCAGTTCTGACGAGTTTGATCGGTTTTGACCGATTTTTTGATAAAGTCAACTATAGTATAGTATCAAACTAGTGCCATGGCCGGTTTGCGGTTCAATCGATCGAACCGGCCGGTCCGATCCGATTTTCAAAACATTGCTTATTAGATATCTCTGCTCTGCTCTTAAATTGAGGTTGGTGTAGCCGTCAATAGGCTAAAATAATTCAAGCTTGACCGTAAAACTAAGAGTTGCACTATTTGACTAAAATAATTCAAGCTTGACCCTAAAACTAGGAATTGCACCTTTTGAATATCGAGAAGTCAGAGCTTCAAGGCATAACTAAGTAGTGCCTTGGAGCAGGAATTGTGATCCATCAGCCATCAAGCAATCTCCATTTGGTGGAGCGCACAGTGTTTACCGTCTTTCCATGGAGCCGGTGGTACTCCGACATCCCCAGTTCATAGCCATTCTGATTGTCTCAAGCATTTTGTGTCAAACTGCAATCGGCACTGCAGCCAAGAATCCATATGTACGTTGACTTTCCCTTTTACTTTTCTTATTTTTCAAGTACCTAGCTAGGGGGCAGAAACACACACACGCACATATGTATACACACACATGTATATACACTACGACACTTCATCCAATTCATTATGTTTGATTGGAATGATACAAGAAAGTTTTTCTTGGTCTTGACCAAGTACTGGGCAAGCAGCAAACTCCTAGTAGTTAGTTTTTGACTAATGAAAATGATCCAGATAAAATCTTGAAACTTGTTATCTTCACATTCTATGCAATTCAAATAAAGATGGTAGGGTACTCGTGTATTCAATTGGCACTGTTAGATTGGTCAAATACCAACTGTTGGGTTTGCCAAGTAATGGTCCATACTGGAAAAAAATTTGTCTACATATACAGCAATTTTTACATGTTGGCTTAGTTGAATAAATCAACTAATCGTTGATTGCAATTAATTTCCGTAGAGATACCATACCAACAAGCCTTCACGACCAGGGAATTGGCTAAACCATGGAGGAGACATATACAACCGCAGATATGCCTCTAGTGAATCCAAAATCAGCCCTTCAACCGCATCTAAACTGGGGCTAAAATGGAAGTTCAACGCAGCGGGATTTGTAACAGGAACGCCCGCTGTATATGATGGGATTGTATATTTCACAAGCTGGAATGGATATGTGCACGCGGTTAAAGCCTGCGATGGCTCTCTGGTGTGGAAACAAAATGTTGAACAACTCACCGGTCTCACTGTCCCGGTCTTGAACTCAACAATATCCAGATCAACTCCGACCATCATCACGGATCAGGATATGATAATTCTGGGAATCACGGGGCCGGCTTATGCCGTTGCCGTTAAGCGGAGCAGTGGCAGCCTAATATGGTCAACTCAGCTGGATGGCCATCCCTTTGCCATCATCACCATGTCTGGGACCTATTATGATGGGTAAGCACTACCCACCACAACTCTTGCTTGAGCCTTTTTTTGACTTGAGAAATATAGAGCTTTGAATACTAGAAGAAAAGCACTTTTGAAACTAATTTTCTTCTGTACCCTTTATGAAATAATAACAAGATTCCCTCAAAAATACTACACAAATGGATAGGCCACGCAATCGAACATGAACTTGGCTGTCCATCGGAATAACTTTCATATATAGTAGTGATACTTTATTAATATAAGTTAATGGGGTCAGTACATTCACATGTCCAGATGGAGCAAGGATGAGAATGAAATGTTCATCCCACACGTTACTGTGCATAATAAGTTAAAGTTCCAAAAAAATCTCAAAAACTAGGACGGAGGGAGAGAGAGTGTGTGTATGTGTGTCTATATATATCGTTAACATACTAATAAATTATTATGCTTCCTTGCATTTATCACTTTTCCTTATTAATCTTTTTTTTTTCAAAATCTAATACATGAAGTACATTATTAGTATCCAATGAGCACCTGTTAGACAGATCCTATTTAGAGAGAGAGAGAGAGAGAGAGAGAGAGAGAACAAGCTTTTAATACTAGAAATAGAATTTATACCTTACAAGATTTAGCGAAAACCTAATTTTGTGATTGTTATATATATATATATATATATATATATATATATATATATATATATATATATATATCTTGAATACTAGAAGAATAGCGCTTTTACATAACAAGAGTGGGTGGATACGTAAGTCGTTTTATTTCTATCTTTTCTTCTATTCCCAACTGTTTTCTGCGCATAAATTAACTGATAGAGTGCATTGTTCAATCAATTCTTGCAAATGTTTCCTTGAGTACATTTTAGTGAATAATCTTTACTGTTTCACCTCATGTCATCATTGTGTATGGTTACTCTATTTTTTCATGAATTATGTGAATTTTATTTATTTATTTATCTATTTAGGGTAGGAGTACTGTGAAATTTATTTTATGAAAAGGGAAAAAAAATCATATGTATCATCTATCTGGACAAAGATCTGGGAGGTAAAAATGAAAATTTGAATGGTATAGGTATATGGTTCGATTTTCTGATGCTTAAGAAATATTTAGTGTTGATGATAGATAAGAAAAGAAATCATATTTAGTGATACATGTTTTCTAATTCTGTGGGAAAGTCTAGTTGAGTGAATTCGAGAAGGATAAATTTGTTGTTAATTAAAGTCGTATGTTCAAATGTCATGCATTTCCTGATTATTAAAAACTATATTAAATACGGAATATAATTTGAAAAGTATTAGGAACTGGTCTTCCTGGACCCAGTAAAAAGTCAATGATGCATGGCTTTATAACTCAAACTTTTATATATATATATATATATATATATATATATATATATATATATATCTATATATATAATCACAATTAACTGTAATAAGGTTAGACTCAAGGAATAGCCCTTGAATAACTATTTGCTTACATGATCTACTTTGCATTTCTATAAAACAGAAGAAGACTAAAGACATTTGACATCCAAATATGGACAAAAGTATTCTAGGAGGAGAAAAACTAATTTAATTAGAATTACAAGTTGCAGCCCAGCCCATAGCACAAAAGTTCTCATACAATTTGAGTGGTCCTCTAGATAGGGGTGTAGTTTCATCTAGACAGGGTGTACTCTCAAATTTGACTTGAATTCGAAATTGACCGAGTTTCAATCAACTTCGACCTGAGTAACTTGATTAGATATTGGAGTTAAGTATAAGTAAAAAAACCACATCTCGAGTATTCGTCAAGATTTATCGAATAATGTATATATATATATATACATATACATATTAATCAATACAAAATTATATTTATAGGTAAGAAAGTTATAGAATTTATCAAAAAATTAAGCTTGTGATCAGTTCGATTGAGTTTGATTAGCTCATGTTCAAGTATGATAAAATAAGTTCAAACTCAAGGTTGATCTGTAACATGTTTACTCGAGTAATGACTCGACTTGATAGCAATCCTAGTTCTAGTATTGGAGTCAAGTATTTTGCAGGATATTTCTTTGATATTATTTTTGTTCATTATATATAAGAAAAAACTTATTTTTAATTTTTTTTTTGTTGATCATAGGAAAACAACTTAGAGTTACTAAGGGTTTGATGCAGATAAGATTATTATGACTGGATTACACTAAGATTACTTTATTGTAAGAGTTAATTTTGGTTATGTACAACTTAATATGTGAATACAAACATGTCTATAATGCTACACTAAAACTTGAAAGAAATACAACGGCCACAATAACTGCATCACAAGCCAACGGCATCTACTCCAAACCCAATTTATTATAAAAGTAGTACTCAGTACTGAATTTTAGCCTTTCTGTTGTTGGTAGAGGTTTCTACGTAGGAGTATCTTCAGTAGAAGAAACTGCTACGATTGAGGAATGCTGCACATTTCGTGGTAGCCTCATCAAGTTAGATGCTCGAAGTGGCAGGATCTTATGGAAGACCTTCACCTTGCCAGACAATCATGGGAACCGTGGAGAATATGCAGGAGCAGCCGTATGGGGGAGCAGTCCATCAATTGACGCTCCAAGAAATCATGTATACATCGCAACTGGAAATCTGTACTCAGCTCCTCGACGTATCAGAAAATGTCAAGAAAGATTAAATAATCAGACTAATCCGACCAATCCTAATGAGTGCATTGAGCCTGATAACCATTCAAATTCCATAATGGCACTAGACATGGACACTGGCAAAATCCAGTGGTACAAGCAGCTTGGAGGTTACGATGTCTGGTTCGCGGCTTGTTCAAATTTGTCAACCCCTAATTGCCCTCCCGGACCAAACCCGGATGCCGATTTTGGGGAGGAACCAATGATGCTAAGTATCAAAGTTAATGGTACCAAACGAGATATCGTTGTGGCTGTCCAAAAAAGCGGATTTGCATGGGCTCTGGATCGCGATAATGGGAACATTATTTGGTTTACCGTAAGTTAACTTCACTCTAAATGTCATCATCATTCCATTTGCATATTATTTTAGTCTAGTTATTAATTTTGGTACGATAGCCAGTCTGATTAACTTGCCAACGGATGGATTGATGGATGGATGGATGATGCAGGAAGCGGGTCCTGGTGGTGGTCTCGGGGGAGGTACTTGGGGTGCAGCAACGGATACAAAGAGGATCTACACAAACATTGCCAACAGCAACCAATTGAACTTCACTCTTCTGCCATCACAGAAAGTCACGAATGGTGGAGGCTGGGTGGCGTTGGACCCTCCAACTGGTAAAATTCTGTGGTCGACCGCTGATCCAAAGGATTCTATGGTTAATCCTGTGACTATTGCCAATGGTGTCCTTTTTGGTGGCTCAACATATTCAACAGGACCCGTCTATGCCATCGATGCCAAAAATGGCAACATACTTTGGTCATACGAGACTGGAGCCTCCGTCTATGGTGGCATGTCTGTAAGCGATGGATGCATGTATGTCGGGCATGGATACGTAGCTCCACTCTATACTGCTGGAACCCATCTCTTCGCTTTCTGTGTACAGATTTCTTGAGATTCTTTCCATACACTTGGCATTCTTGGCCTTGCAGTTTCCATGTTTGCCACGGTTGAAGCTAACATGGTTTAGTTATGTATCTTACATACTTTAACTCTTACAGCTGATCGTGTCATGTGAGGAAAGGTGGCTTGTTATGTGAAGTCAGTATAATAATAAATCACGAGAAGTTTATATCGCTATTGTAATTAATTAATTATTGTTACTAGGAAAATACACGTGCGTTGCACCAGTTTTGATATTTCTAAAACTTGTCTTGCTTTTATTTGTTTATATTGCAGGCAAAAGGTTAACCAAAAGTAAACAATAACAATTCATTTTATAATTTAGCCTTTTTCCTAAACCATTGCTGAATCTAATCGTATGAATGTGCAAAAAATCATGTTCTAATGATTAGTCATCATGTGCAAACAAACTACACGCATCTACAGTTATTATCATTGATAAACTATTTTGAGAGACAAGTTATATTCAGTTCAGTTTTGTGTTTCACTTTTTCTGTTTGAATATTAATTTCTCATATTAATTCAATTTGCAGCAGTGATTTCTGTTGAGAAGGTGCTATGCATTACACCTATTCTTCTAAATTAAAATGTTCAAGAGTATATTGCTTTTAGCCTAATAAAATAGATAACATATAATACTAATAGATCTTGTGGATTGATTTTTGTCTTTGGTACATGCACTGGTGAATAGAACACTTTTGTTTTATCGTCAATATACACGTATATGCATGTCAAGCGTAATTGAAAGTTAAAATACGCTAAGTTTAAGTATTCTTAAGTTTGAATAGGAGATTATTTGAAATATTTTCAGATGTAATTACTGTAATATTTTTCGTGATGTGATATATGTGAGATAAAAAGGCACTTAATTAACAAGACAAAAAGGTTGATTGAAAAATATATTTGCGATACAAACAACTTTTTCCAATAATATCTATCAAAACAATTGTATAAGTACGAAAAACTGTTTAACATGTAATTTTTACAATAATTTATCTTTTTAAGCTTGCTTCACAATTATATACTTAGTTATGGCAAGTGTGGTTAGAATGATAACTAACTTTCTCCTTTAATAGAAATTAATGGAATTATTTCTCTAGGTATATATCTCAAAACATTTGAATATATATATGCAGTCATGTAGAGAAGAAAGATAACTAAAATCTTGTAGATTTTCAATTTATGTAGGCATATGGGGTTTTTTTTTAATAAATCTTTATATTTTTATTTCTCTGAAGCGAAATACAACTGATGGAAGGCGTAAAGCAATGCTTCCTACCCAGCTATGGTTTTACTAATCGAATATAAGGAAGCTGGATCCTATCTAGACGCACCAGATTGAGAGCGTTGGTAGGGAGCTGGGGTGCCGAGAATGTCGAGCTACATTGTGAGGAGCTGGCTAGGTTGGCTAGTGCATTGGCCACTGCATTGGCTTCCCGAAAAGTATGTTTGAAAAAGAACTGCGTGCCACTGGTCAGCTCCAGGGCGCGGGAGACCGTCTGCCACACCCTCCAAGGCACTTGACACTCTCCATTCAGCAGTTGCACCAAGATTCGCGAGTCCATTTCAACTTCTACAGAGTGCAAGCCTCGCTCCAAGCAAAGCTTGATACCTTCAAGGAGCGCCATAGCCTCAGCCTCCATATTGGTTCTAAAGCCGAAGGCGGTTGAGAAGCCTACCAGAACGTTACCAAAGGGGTCCCGAATCACTTATCCCCTACTTGAGTAACCGGGATTGCCTATGGAGGAGCCGTCTGTGTTTAGCTTTAGGAAACTGGGGGGCGAAGGACTCCAGCTAATAGCAACCGGGATCTTGGGACTCAATCGAAGTAGCCGAGGCAACAGTCTTGACTGAATCAGAGACACGTCTTTTGTGGTAACTAGAGTGAACGGAAAGGCCTGCGAGATGGTCCAAAGCGAAGTTTGGACATTCCGACAAGCTTGCGCAGGCCGAATGCGGGTCCCCTCGTAGGTCTAGAGGTTTCTAGCTTTCCACAGCTCCCAACTGACTAGTGCCGGTAGAAGGGCATGGAGCTGCCCCGATGCTGTATTGGACGTATGAGACCACCAATGCTGTAGCCTCTGCCAGAAATCCGTCGGTTGCTGAGCCGGGAAGTGGAGGGCCTGAGCAAAGAAATCCCAAACCTCTGAAGCAAAGGAACAAGATGATAACACATAATCCCAGGACTCCTCATTACAGCAAAAAGGGCATATGACGGAAGGTGAAATCCAAAGGAGGCCAATGTCTCTGGGAAAGGCAAATAATCATTCAGCAATTTCCACATGAAGACGGAGATTTTGACTGGGATGCGTCGATCCCAAATCAATTCCCTGGAACCTAAGCCGAAGTGCTTAGGCCGTAGTAGCTGTAAGGCCGAGGAGACCGAGAAGTGTCCAGGGGGTGTAAGAGTCCAGACTTTCTTCCCCCCCCCGGCCATCCAGATCGCTGGTATAATGATCGACCGTAGCTTGAACTGAGAGCATGTTTCTCCAAACCTTCGAGGCACAGCGGTTCCCCGGGCCATTAGCATCATAGCAGGAGCGCATGAAACGTGTCCACAGCGAGCAGTCGTTGCGGTAGGGCCACCACAGCTTGCAATGGAAGGTGTTTTGCATGTCCGTGAAGCTACGAAGACCAAGCCCATCCTCAGTGGTGGGATAGCACAGGCCTGTGCCCAAGTTCCGAAGCTCCCCAAAAGATATCGGCCATGATAGCTTCTAACTGTTTGAGTACGGCCTTGGGAGGGTCCATCACTGCCAAGACGTGCAGGGGAATAGAGGAGAGCATGTGTCGAATTAAGATTAAGCGGCCCCCTTGCGTCAGGAGCTTTTTCTTCCATCCAGCGGTTTTGGCCACGCATTTTTCAATCAAAAATTGAAAGTACTCTTTCTTGGGATGCCTTTGGTATAGGTTGCAGCCTAGGTACATGAATGGGAAGGCGCCATGTCTGAAACCCGTAGCATGTTGTATGAAGCGAGCTTGAGCCAGACCACATCGCTTGGAGGGATTGAAGAAACTTTTTTGCCTATTTATTTGTTGCCCTGATTTGCGCTGATAGGCGTCCAAAAAAACCATCAAATTGTGCACGGAGCGCCTGTCCCCCCTAGAAAAAATGACGATATCATCGGCAAAAGACAGATACGTGACTTGCAAGCACCCCCGTGGCAAAGCAAAGAGGGAGACCCTACCGTCAGACACTATCTTATTCAAACCCCTGCTTAAGGCCTCAGATGCCAGGATAAATAAAATTGGGGATAAGGGATTGCCCTGCTTGAGTCCACGCGATGCCTGGAAGAATCCCTTCGGGCTTACCGTTGAGCAAAACAGAGAACCAGCTCTGAGAGTGATTGTTAAGAATGAGGGCAATAAATCTGGAGTGGAACCCGAATTGTTGCAGTAACGACTCGAGAAATCCCCACGAGACTCTATCAAAGGCCTTCTGCATATCAAGCTTGAATATGCAATTGTGGCCCCGCGCTTTCTTGTTGATTGACGCCACCAGCTCCTGAGCAAGCAGGACATTTTCGGCAATGTCCCTGCCCGGGGTGAAAGCAGACTGCTTTGGGGAGACAACAGACGGGAGGAGAGGCCGCAAGCGATTGGTCAGCACCTTCGTGAAAATTTTGTTGACGAATGTACAAAGGCTTATAGGGCGGAAGTCGGCAAAGGTGGAGGGATTAGCATTCTTGGGTATAAGTATAATAAGAGTGCTGGAGATCCCTTTTGGGATCGGAGTACCAGCCATAAAGTCCCTCACTGCCAGAAGTATGTCATCTGCAACAATGTCCCAACAATGAGTGAAGAAGACCCCAGAGAATCCGTCTGGACCTGGGGCACTGGTACTGTCGAGTTCAAACACAGTGCGTCTGATCTCCTCCATGGTGACCTCGCTCAATAACTGCGCATTTTGCTCTGCTGAAACCAGGGCAGGAATGTGTTGGGTCAGCGTCCCGGTACCGTGAACAGGCTCTACGGTAAGCAGGTTCTTGAAGAAATTCTCGGCCTCAAGGCCCAGTCGCTCCTCATCGTCTACCCACTCACCAGATGCGTCCTTGAGACGGTGGATCGTAAGCTTTGCTCTCTTATCCCGTATCGAGGTTTGGAAAAATCTCGTGTTGCTATCTCCATCCTTCACCCACTTTAGCCTCGCCTTTTGACGTCAAAAATGCTCTTCGTGCTTTGAAGAAGCGCTGAACTTCCCCGAACCGAGCTGAACTGATGAGCTCGGCGTGCTGATGGGAATAGCTGGTTCCAAGCCTGCAAGACAGCCAAGAGAGTGGTCTAACAAGGGGCCCCGAGGTCGTCCCCGAGGGCACTACGACGGTCAAGTTAGTTCACCGGTGGATGAGGTTTACGGGAATTAAGCAGCCAGGAGTAATGTGACAATAGTGAGCGTACCCTGTGTAAGTGGTGTGCAGTACCATTTATACCTTCCTGAGAGTCCGACCTCCGTACGTTTCGAGACTTGCCAGGTATAGCCCTTATCCCGCGCCGAGGGGAATCTCCTCCGACCTCTGCGGGATGGTCCCCTGGCCCTTCTGGAGCCCTAGCAGCGGCGCGGCCCAGGACGGTTGCCAGGGGCCTGGGGTCGAGGCCCAACTCGGCCATACCTGGGCTGCCACGTGTCTGGGCCCAGGACGGGGCCTCTGCACTAGCCCCCTAGATTATGTAGGGCTGTCAGGCAGACCTAATCTACCCTTGCCACGTGGGAGGGCAGCGCCGCGCACTGCTCTGCCAAGGTCACCTCCTGTACAGCGCTGTCATAGGGAAGCCGCGCCCACGTCCTTTCAGTTGTCACGTCCCTTCGGTCTCCGTACCCTCATTAAATGCGTTCACATGGGACGGTTCAAATTCAAGCAACCGTTTTTCCTCCATTTCACCCCCTATAAATGGGAGTCATCAGACTTCACTCGACTCTATTTGCCATTTTCTCCTTCCTTCGCGCATTTCCATTTCCTAGTAAAGAGGTTTTCAGCTCTCTGTGCCCAGATTCCGGCGACTCCTTCATCCTTCTCCTGCTCCAGTCATCAGTAAGTCTTTTCCCTTCACCCTTCACTTTTTCCTCCTCCTTGGGCACCCTCTGCTTTTTATGTCGGATCATTCCGGCGTCATTTCCACCGCATTTCAAATCCCCTCCCGGCGTAGAGCCCCCCAGATTGTCATTTCTTCGCCTTC